GACTTGTAGCGTTCACAGTTTTTTTGAACATGGCCGGAGACGCTACCGCGTCTCCTGATTCATAAATACATATTATAACATGAAGTATTATATATTCAGCCTGGTTAAATTTAAGGTTTTAAACAGCTTTTTTTCGGAATGTATACAAATTCATCTTACGGAAAATTTATCAAGCGTAATATGATTGAATGACGTTCTGATTTATTTCTTTAATATATTGCCGGTGTCTTTCATTCACTTTATCTTTAAAAATAAACTAAATTATGCCATATTTACATAAAAATATCAAATTGGATTTATCTAAATATTATTACAAATATGAAAAAATTTTAATCTGACAGAACTGTTGAGTTATGGCGAATGATATATTAGAGCAATGATATTATACCATTATTGTCTAATGTTTTCACAATTTGCCTATCAGAGTACATGTTAATTAAATATCAAGGTACTTTATTTCACTGCATGCTTGAACTATAGTGTTTCGCAATTCGCAAATCATAATACAAGAAAATTTTCAAAAAATTAAGTAAAGAGAAATGTGTTAATAATATGATTCAATAAATTTGAAAACACGAATAAAGGAAGAGGATTACGAGTCAAAGATCAAAACATTAAGCGTTTCGTCCTGGCTCCCACTACTGAACTCATCAGTATTGTAATGGAAGCCAGGACGAAAAGCTTAATGTTTTAATCTTTGGCTCGTAGCCCTCTTCCTTTATTCGTGTTTTTAAGTAAAGAAATTATGTGTACATTTTTCAAGCAATAAGTTTTGAAATATAAAGAATTAAATATAAGCAATTACAGAATATATATTTAAATGGTCATTTGACTATGAATTATGTAACTACGTGATAGTATTAGTAAGCGTTTCAACATTTGAATGTAATCCGCGCGTTTAAATGTAATTCATAATTGACTATATTTAAATTCTTATTATCTCATGGCCTATTGTTTAAAATAAAAATGTACAAATAACTTTTTACTTTATTTTTTGAGAATTTTCTTACTGTGTTATTTTAAGTCGCGAATTTTGAAACACCCTATATATCGTAGTTAAGCTAATATAAAATATTTTTACTCTATTTTTTTACATTTCATGTATTTGTAGATATTCCTAATGATTCTGAATTAAATAAGGAAAGCTGTGTTAGACGATTATCATTCAGCTCCATTGGTAAGTGGACATCTGGGTATTGATTGTATATCTTGAAATGAGGTGAAAATTACAAAAGTGAGCAATTTACTGGAGAAAATATTTATGAGAATATTCGTAATTTGATTTCATGAACAACACTTAATGAATTTTCTCACTTTTGTATTTTTCATCTCATTTTAAGATACACAATCGACTCGTTAAAAAATAAAGTATCTTAAATTAAGCAAATAAAGGAAAAATATAAGTAAATAGTAAATGACTTTTGTATTTTAAATCAATATAATAAGATCAAAGAACATGTAAGAGCCGTTAAAATAATTAAAATTATAAATCTAGATGTAAATAAAGATATGAAATAAAATTTCTTATAAAAACAATATTATAAAAGGAAAAGGTATATATATGGTATTCGATGTGCGCAATTACGATACATATGTATAATATTATTTTTATAAGAAATTTTATTTCAAACCTTTATTTACATTTAGATTTATAATTTTAATTATTTTAACGACTCTTATATGTTCTTTGTTCTTATCATTGTATTAAAGGAAAAATGTTTAAAAATATGTTGTTACATACACGACTAGTATTAATTATACGCTATAATTAGTACCGATAGTAATAATTTATACTTGCAGTTATTTTTTAAAGTACGGTTATAATCCGAAAATATTCATTGCATTGATGTAAATTCATTTATATTTAAAAATTAATGAAAACGATTTACAAATCATACAAGATCTCTTATCCAAACATTTAGTTATAAACAATAAGCTTTCAAACAAACGTTTCGATCCTAATCGCGAGTCATCTTTAATGTTAAAAAATGCAATAAAATTTAAATTCTTGATATGGAACAAAACTCAAAGACAATTATACAAATTAAAGATATTGAAACAAAAATACTTGCTCTTAAACTTTATACTCTTCTGTAGATTTAATTGTTCTTTGTAGACGGATTGGAGAAGTTGCTTTACAAGTTACTTATTATAAGTTACATTTTATTATAGAAATTAAGTACAATAGGTACGGGTATTTTATTTTTCATATTATATATTTTATTATTTGCTCCAATTTAGTATTACTTTTTGTACTTAATTTTTGTAATAAACAATAAGGCAATTTAAATAACTTATAAAGTAACTTTTCCAACCTTATGTAGACGTATTCACCATGAATTATCGAAAATATAATATCGAAATAACGTGGAAATTGATCAATTCTTACAACAAACGTTATTATGCTAACGTAATGTGATTGTAACTGAACAGGCTGTGATATAGATGTAATATAAATTGTCATTTTCGAAGTAAAACATATTGTCAAAAATTGTAAACGATTATTGTAAGAGCTCAGAAATTTTAAATTATAATGTTTGGTATGAACATGGACAATCATCTCTGAGTTCTTACAAGAATCGTTTGTAATCTTTGACGATATGTATGTTTAACTTTGAAAATGACGATTTAAATTATAACATATGTTGGTAATAAGACTCGTTAAGTTTTTTAAACTAACATTAAAGAGAGACAAGGTTACGAGCAAACAAATTCGTTAAAATATTTAATTTTAATATATTACGAAGAATATCATGTAATTTTTGGCGTTTCGTCCCGGCCTCTACTACTGGACTCATCAGTAAGGCATTATATAGTGGAGGCCTACCTTAGACGCCTTGGTAAGTTATTAAATCGAGATTCTATATAAAGAGATATACGCGTGTCTTAGCACTTGCGAGAATTTACGAATATCGATAGACCTCTAATGGCTGGTCGACGTAGTAATATTCTTCGCAATATTCATCCAAAGTAAGAATAACGTCCTATTAATAATTAACCAATATACGTGGTCCCCCCAAATTTGCGCGCCGAATAATCGTCGATCTTGAAACGCAATTCTAATAATCCGAATATACTAAATCTGGAAAAATGATGATAAGAACTCATATTTTCACCCGCGTAAATTAAGATTTAAATTATATCAATGTCACAGCCTGTTCAGTTACAATCATGTTACATTAACATAACGTTTGTTGTAAAAATTGACCAATTTCGACATTATTTCGGCATTATATTTTTGATGGCTATAATATAAGAAATCGATGAATATGTCTGCAAAGAAGATTGAAAATTTATGGAGGACTGAAATTTAAGAGCGAGTATTTTTTTATTCAATATTTTCGATTTGTGTGTATAACTATGTTTAAATGCAAATTTTGTACCGTATCAAGAATTAAAATTGTATTGCATTTTTAACACTGAAGATGACCCGATTAGAATCAAAACAGTTTGTATGAAATCTTATTTTTGTTGTTTTTATTTATTGTTCATAAGTGAATATTTGCATAAAAGATCTTGCTTGGCTCGTAGTCCTTAATTAATATAATTAATTTTTAAATTATTTGAGCCTTGTTATGATACTGAATTATTTATATTTTATTTTTATTTGTATTTCATGGTAGTTGACACTAGCGATAAAGAAAACGATAAGGACTCTGAGTATTTACCTTCAGATGACGATGAAAGTTTGTCAGAAAATGAACTATCTCCTGAAAAATTATCACCTGAAACGCGCAACATAAATTTAACTACCAGTCGATCATCTCCTCCAAGTTTTGAAGTGTCGCAATCACAAACTGCATGTAATGATGAAGATATGTATGTTGATAAGTCGAATACTAAATCTAAACAACACTGCTGCATTTTTTGTTTGAAGTTGCAATCACAATTAGCAAGGCATTTAGAAACGGTACATCGCGATGAACCAGAAGTAAAAAAATTCTCTATTTTGCCCAAAAAAAATCCGGAAAGAAAAAAAATAATAGATATTCTTAGAAAAAAAGGTAATTTTAAACATAATAAGATCGCAGAAATTAATAAAGGAAAACTTATTGTATCCAGACGTCCTCATAAAGATACGAAGAATACAGCTATACATTTTACTGCGTGTAAAAAATGCAATGGATATTATGCAAAAAGTACAATACGTCATCATGTTCGAAAATGTTTCAAACGAAATTTTAAACATAATAGAGGAGTCATGGTTATGGGCAAAAAAGTTACCTGTAGAATACACGAAGCAGCAAGTGAACAGTTAAGGAACATAATTTTCCCTATATTACAAGAAGATAAAGTAGTACGAGCAATAAGATTTGATAAATTAGTAATCTTATATGGAAATCAATTGTGTTTGAAGTACACGCATCAACACCAGCACGATATGATACGTGCTAAATTACGACTTACTGGCCGTTTTAAATTAGCATTTAGAGAAATTAATAATAAAATAAAAAACTTTGAGTCGCTCTATCATCCGAGGAACTATGATGATTGCATTTCGGCCATAAAAGTTGTTGCCGGGTATAATAATATCGATAATACGTATAAAGCTCCAGCAACAGCAACTAGTTTGTCAACTCTTATAAAGAAGATAGCACAGGTTGAAATCATGGAATGTATAAAACAACAGGATGCAGAAAAGCAAAGATTAGTTGAGGATTTTCTAAAGCTATTAACTGTTGATATAGGAACAAGTGTAAATACAACTGTTGCAGAAACGCAATCAACTCGTAAAAGACATAAGGTACAACTTCCATCAATGGAAGATATTAAGACTTTATATACACATTTGAAGGAAAAAAGAATCGAAGCTTGTACTGCATTAAAACAGTTTTTCTCGTTTGATAATTGGCTTTCTTTAACGGAAGCAACATTAACTTCAGTACATGTATTTAACAGACGGCGAGCAGGTGAAATTGAGAGAACACTTATTGAAGATTTTAAAACTTATGAAAGGATAAATAAAAATATGTACAGTGATATGTACACATCGTTATCAGCGCAAAATAAAAAAATAGCAGAAAGATATGTTCGTTTTTCTATTAGAGGAAAATTAGGACGTACAGTGCCTGTTTTATTGCCAAACGACCTTTTGGAGTGTATTAATTTAATATTACAATTCCGAGAAGAAGCTAAAGTCCCAAAACAAAATCCGTATGTGTTTGGACTGCCTAGTAATGATAAACGCAGGTATAAGTATCTTCGAGCTTGTACCTTAATGCGAAAATTCGCAGTAGAGTGTAATGCGGTTTATGCCAATACTTTGCGTGGTACAATATTAAGGAAACACGTGGCTACACATTGTATGCAATTGAATCTAAATGACGTTGATGTGTCTGATCTCGCTAATTTCATGGGCCACGCCGAGAAGATACATAAAGATATTTATAGGCAACCACTGCCTTCCATAGAGATACTTAAAATTTCTCAGTATTTAGAAGCAGTTCAAGGATATAATAAAAATGATAACGACTCATCATCAAGCAATGAATTTGAAGAAGACATAGAAATGGGAAGTTTTAATAATACCGATAATACAGATAATAGCGATAAAATAGAGGCGGAAGATTTACGTAAGTATGCAAAAATTACAATTTAATTCTAAAAAGTGACATTAATTTCTGACTGCTACAAATGTTAAAAAAATATTCGTGTAGTTATATTTTTCTTTATATATTCTATGTGTCTAAATATAATGTAAAGTTACCAGAAGGCCAACGTTGCTGTTCGCTTCATCAGGACGAGGAGCACATTAATACTCAGGATACTAAGTATCAAAGCGCTCCTCGTCCTGATGAAGTGAACAGCAAAATTCACAAAACCTTGGCATTAGCAATAGATAATAATACGGCGATAACCTGCAATCCTGCAAATCTTATAATATCTTTGAAGAAAATATCCGTGAAAGCCTCAAAAGTATAATGTAAAATATAAGACAAATAATACGGAACATTTCAATTCTTAATCAGGTCCTTGGCCATTGTATAAGATATGTGATTAACAATTCTAAATAAAAACTGAGAAGGGAACCTCTCGAAGTGTTACTCACCGATTTTAATAAAACTTTGTGAACTTTTAGTTTACGTAAAAAGATGAATTTAGAAAATGTCAATTGCGGCTAAAAAACGGTTTGAAGGGGTGAAATCATCCCTCATATGTACAACGATTTTCATCTTTGTCCGTTATATCTCAAAAACTATTTGAGATATAAAAAAATGTTTTATACAAAAGTTTTACAACAAAATTAGCTCTATTCATTCACGTTCTTAGAATAATTATTTAACAATTTTTTCGAAAATAAAAAAAAGATTTTTTTTTTAATTATTGACACGAATGAATTTACCAATTTTGTTGTAAAACATTTGTATAAAACATTTTGTTATATCTCAAATAGTTTTCGAGATATAACGGAAAAAACTGGGAACCGCTGTACACATAAGGGATGATTTCACCCTTTCAAACCCTTTTTTATCCGCAACTGATATTTTCTAAATTCATTTCTTTATGTAAGCTACAAGCTCACAAAGTTTCATTAAAATCAGTGAGTAACACTTCGAGATGTTCTCTGAGTGAGAGTTGAAATGTTCCACATTTTACCTTGTATTTTATGTTGTATGTTGTACTAAAAAATGCAAAATATAAAGAAAAATCATCACGCAAATATCTATACTTTTAATTTCACTCTGGTCATGACGCTGACCAAGATCCTTTGAAAGAAAAGAATCGTGGAGTCTACAGGACGTAACACTTTTTACTTCATATTATCTTGTGGCAGTATAACATAATTTTCTAAACACATCTTTTATTTTGCTTATATATTATGTGCATATAATATTTTATTTATACATTATGTGTGTAAACTTAATGGTGTGTGAAAACATATACTCTATACTTTTTAGATACAAACCCACGCAATCCTAAAGACGTATCACAAAACCAGATAATACATAAACATCAGAAAAAGAAACGGAAACGTTCCAGTAAGTACTTTGCATTGAGTTGTATTGAAGATGAAGCCTAAATATTTAATATAATGAAAGATAATAATAATTGACTCGTATGATTTTTAAAAATCAGTAGAACGTGTAAAGCCTAATCGAGTCTTGAAAACAAGTTGTTAATGTTTATTATATTGTGTGAATTTATATACTGCGTATGTAGTCCCCCCCCCGCGACGCTGATAGATTTTCAGCTTTGACGCATACATATTCACTACCGCAGTAATATCACTTAGTTAAATTGAGAATCAATCTAACAAATTTTTGATGCCTATAGCATCTTATTAGATCTTAATAATATGTTGAAAGACATATATTGAAATTTAATATTAAAGTAATAATTTAGAATCTATGAAAAATAAGATTGCGAAGAATATCACAAGTTGGCGTTTCGTCCCGGCTTCCACTACTGGACTCATCAGTAAGGTAATGTAGTGGGAGCCTACCTTAGACGCCTGGAAAGATGTTAGAAAGAAGTTCTATATAAACAAATATTCATATAATTCGGCACTTGCGAGAAATGGCATGAGTAACTATAGACCTCTGTTGGCTAGTCGACGTAGTGATATTCTTCACATTGTTCTTAATATTTAAATAAGTAATTAAAGCGCATTTTTCATCAAAGCTGAAAATCTATCAGCGTCGCGGGGGAGGGACTATATTCAGTATATAAATTCACACAATATAATAAACATTAACAACTTGTTTTCAAGACTCGATTAGGCTTTACACGTTCTACTGATTTCTAAATATTTAATTTGTTTAAATATTATTCTAAATAATCTGTGAGTTATTTTAAACTTCGTAAAAATAATATAATTACATGAAGGACTATGTCCAGTTTGGGCTTCGACTGAACAGCATTGAGACCTAGCTAGGATTATAAGGCATCGAAAGAAAATTAAAAAATTCTATATACACAACTTTGTAAAATGAATCTCTTGAGTGCTACAGCTGTTCAAAGTTCGCTATTATGACCATGTATTGTATGTACCATGTACGTACTACAAGTTTTATTCGATTTCTCAAGTCATATAGTACCTGGGATATATGTCTAATATCTTGACGAAGGCAACTAAAATCTTTTTTGGTCCCCGAATGAATAGTCATGAGTGATGTACTAATCTATGAGGGGACGGCAGAGACTCACGGAGTATGAAATAAGAGGCACTCATCAGGAAACCTCTCCTATAAAGTTGGACTTATGCAATTTTTTATTTTTTTCTGATACCTTAAATTTAAAATTTTAAGCATGTCTCAAAGTTGTTCATCCGGGGCCCATTCTCCTATAAAATTGGATATAATTCTTTTTGCATAACAATGCTTTTATGTTTTCATTATAAAATACTTACAAGAAAAGGGACTAACCCCCTCCGATCTTAATGAGCTTTTAGCATATTATTCTCCAGACAAGTGACATGTATTTTTTTTATATGTGTCCGATAACGTCCACATTTTTTTCTTTTTCGAAGCGAATATTGCCGAAGTTAAGAAATAGAAAAAAATGTTCAGAATGAAAATTGAATGACTTCAAGAGTACTTTATAACTATCATTAAAAAATTTTATTATTTATCTATCGTATATAATGATTTAAAAAAAGTTTTTTATGATAGTTACAAAGTACTTTTGAAGCCATTCAATTTTTATTCGCAACATTTTTCTCTATCTTATAGTTTCAACGATATTTGCTTCAAAAAACAAAAACCGATGTTTTTCGGAGGGGTGTTTCACCTCTTAAAATTAAAAATGAAAACGGGACGTATAAAAAAATACGTATCGCTTATTTTTGTCTGGAGAATAACATACTAAAAGCTCATTAAGGTCGGAGGGAGACAATTAGGTTCTTTTCTTTGTTAGTATTTTAGTTAGTATGCGTATGCAGTGTGTTAAATATTGCTTCACTTGGAACTGGTATACTTGATCACTGCTTTAGTTCCCTCGTTGACTACGTGCTTAGCCAATTCTCTAGATCAGAGCTCGGCACGAAATGTAACTTTCGACCGTCGAGCGGCATTTGGACTGCGCGCGGGGTGGTGCGGTGAGGGGGACAGCGGAAGGCGGAGACAATTCGAAAATCGACCGAAAGTTGCATTTCGTGCCGAGCCCTGCTCTAGGTAAAAGAAGTTTCACGGCAGTTTGTATCTCACGAGATGTGATCGTTGATCTTTTATTATAGTGCGTTAATCTTGACGTCTCGGCGGTAATTCTCTTGGACACATTAACGAAACTGTTCATGGTGCTCATTACTTTGCTCGAAATTCGAGTATCAAGATGTACTTATTTCAATACCTTGTAAATGCAGTAGATAGCATAGCTCTCCTCTCTCTTGCGCTTCTTTAAATTATTTCTTTAATATACATATAGTACGTATGATATACACTATAGCTTATTATTATTATACATTATATATGTATTATTTTTAAAATTTATAATTTGCATTTAAAACACTATTTTATTTTTTATAGCACCTCCTTATGGAAAAACAAAAAGAATACGGTGGAGTGTACAAGAAAAAAATGCAGCATTGAAAGCATTCGGAAAATACATAAATAATTGTACTTTGCCATCTTTCAAGGTTATTCAAGAAACCAGAAAAAAGTATCATGTCTTACGTAATCGTACAACACCACAAATAAAAACATGGATCTCCAATCAACACAAAGGACATAAAAATCATGTAAGTTGCCTTATTTTTATAAATTTTATTTTATATTCTTCAACCCTTATAAAAAAGATCAGTGATTATTGAATTACTGTATGAAGTACTAGTAAGGGTCTGCGCACAATAGGAGAAATATTAGGAACAGATATTAAATATAAGAATTTTAACTTATCAGAATTGTGTACTGTGGAATGTGCGCTTTCTGACAGGTTAAAATTCTTATATTTAATATCTGTTCCTAATATTTCTCCTATTGTGCGTAGACCCTATCTCTATAATTTAATTTTCTGTGTGATTCGTAGGTGATTTGGCGAACAATAAAAATTTAAACAGACTATAAAATTTTATTGAATTAAGTGTGAAATATATGGAATTTCTACGTGAATAGAAATCCTTAAACGAAAATTTCAGGTTTCATCCTTAATTAACAGATTTTACAGTCAATTAAAATTTTTACTATTATCTATGAATTATACGAGACGTTAAATACTCAAAATTATTAGCTAAAAATAATAAAATTAGAGAAACAATAATCACTGATCAATTTATAAAGCTAGTAATCCATTTTTGTAAGAATAATTATATATTTTAATATTTTATTTCAGGAAGACTAATTTTTTTACATACTTGGATTATGTGTCTACTAAAGGTTTATAGCGAATTCGGCAGACTGCACTAGTGTGCACTGAGTGTGAACATTTTCAGTGTTATACATTCGGCTTGTGCACACTGTATGAGTGCATTCAGATTATCATTCGACAAATGAAAACTGACCCAGTGTAGTGCTAAATTTATATTCCAATCAACCGAATGAACTAAACGAATTCAAGAAATGTTACACTGACGTTTCTGATAGTGCAGTTTGGCGTAGCACCAAAATGGTTCTGCACGCGTACTATGTCAGGACAGCACCAGAGCAGAGTCAGTGCATGTGTACCGAATTCGCCATTAGTTTTGTTTTATTTTCAAATGTCATGAATTATGTCTGGTTTTGATGCAACATGGATTATTTTTTCTGCACATACATAGTTTACGGCTAGGAGTTTACGGCTAAAAGTATTGTCAACAACATTTTTAACATAGGTATATATTTTAATTTTGTCATGTTGCTATTTGCAAAGTTCTATTACTAAGTACAAAATACGTTTCTGCAAATTATTTGATTTGATTTTATTCTTATATTTATTTGGTTTCACTCAATCAATTACTACTTACTTTTTTAATAGTTACCGTATAATATTTTCTGAGTAGTTTTATACAGGGTTGCCACAAGTCAGGGAAATCAGGGAAATGTCAGGGCATTTGAAAAATGCGTCAGTAAATCAGGGAAAGTCAGGGATTTCAGCGCACTTTTCGGGAAAAATAATATAGCTGTAAAGAAATTTATTTATATCACGACGCCACAATCGATAAAATCATTTCGCTTTGTTCTTCAAGCCAACTCGGTTGCTAAAAAAAGATCTTTGTTTACAAAAATTTCAAAATTGAAGACTAAGAAGGCAAAACTTTTGGCAGAAAAAACTAATGAATTAACAATAAGTGCTCTTGATGAAGAAATAACATCACTGATGTCATTAACATTCAATTAAAATCTTGTACAATTTTTTATGTTGCAGTATTTAAGTTTTCTTTAAGGATTTGAAATTTTAGTTATGTTAAAAAGCTAACATAAACTTGTAAAGATTTAAAATACTTTACCAAAAACATCGAAATTTTAATGTTGTCTGTTCTTTTGTTTTATATAAGAAAGTTCTATGTCACTTATGAACAAGTGAGTAAAATAAATATTATTCTATAATTTTATGATTTTTCTTTCAAATATGTTAACTTTTATAAGCAGATTGAGATTTTAATAAACAGATCATAATTTTGATAAAAAAGAAACTGTATTCATTGATTTATGTTCCTTATATTTTAAGTATAGTAGTAAAAGAAAGAGAGGAAGAGGAAAAGAATCATGAAAGGAAAAGACAAAAAGTACTATTAACTTAACGATAAAATGTAGTATCAGCAACATTAATAGTATTATTTATTAATAGTATTAATAGTATTATATTATAACATTAATTTAATTACACTGTTATATTAAATTACTCGATCAACAAAATATTTAACAATTTTCAAATCAGGATGAAAATACAAAAAATATTTCAAAATATTTATTATTGAAAGTCAGGGAAAATTACAAAATTTTGTCAGTAAAATCAGGAAAATGTCAGAAAATTTTAGGATGAAAAATTTGTGGCAAATATTATATAAACACTTAGAACTTTCAAGCAAACTCTCGATGTGAAGGATGATGAATTCATGTATTCACATTATAATTATGTGTAAGTAATATATACGGCGCAAAATAATAAATTTTATTTGCCTCTAAACGTAGAATTATTTTTGTTAGAATATATTTTATTTTTGTATTGTACAATGAGTAGCAAAAATAAGTTTCTTTTCCTGTATATTTAAAGTTAAATAGGCGCGTTGTCCCACCTATTAAAAATATTTTTTAAATATGGTGTGCTGATTGGGTAGCACGGCGCTAGTGCTGCACCAGTTTTCCCAGTGGAAAACGCTATTAGAATCTACACGTGATGCGCTCATCTACATTTATACTGGAAAAAGAACTCATCTTTGTTCTTCATTATAGATTTTTCTATTCAAAATCTGCCGAAAGTTGCATACACTTTATGCATGTTCACTTTAAACTGGCACCTTTAGGGCCAATGTCACAAAACTTTGATTAACTAATTGGCCTAGTAACTTTGCAGGCTTCCAACTGAAACTGATGTCGGAGTATTAATGTGAGCTCAGCTCCGACATCAACTTCAGTTGGAAGCCTGCAAAGTTACTAGGCCGATTAGTTAATCGAAGCTTAGTGACAGTGGGCCTTAATTAATAATATTTCAATTACTTTTCGTGGGGGGGGTAATATATTATATATTATTATTAGATATTAATTAAAATTTTAAAGGGTTTATTAAGGATCTTTTTTTGAATATGGCTTTTAATCTTTCTCATTTTTATGATATGATTTTTTAAGGATATCATTTACTTTTTAGAGTATAAATATATCAAAAATATATATAAAAAATGATTTTAAAATATTATATAATAAAAGAGAGTGAAAAATACGGCGAAAAAGAGGGGTGGTGAGGAAGAGACGGGAATGTGATGGGTTGAAGTTGGTGGAGGTGTGAGCGAAAGATGAGACAGGAGAGAGGTGCACATGACTACGGACAGAGAAGGAAAAGGAGAAAAAGGAGGATACGTTACTTCATGTTTCATGAAAATCATCACTTTTCAATCGCTTGTGTATCCAGAACTGCTTGACCGATTTTAATTTTTTTTTAGCTTATATTATTCGTTGCGATGCGGCCTTTCAGAATATATTATGTGTGTTGTACCTCTCGGTGCAACAAGATATTATTTTGGGATTCGATCCGCTCAAAGAATTGGAACCCACGAGGAAAACGAGGAAAGTGGTCAAGGTTGTAGAACAAACACACACTGCACCACACTTTTATTAAAATAACCCCTTTTATTTATTATAATACTTACAATTTCGAGTGGTTATTACCACTGATTACATTTATTCAAGTAATCGTAACCTTTTATTTAATTATTATAATTACCCGATTGAATGATTACACTTTGGTGGTTAATTGCTTATGTTACAATTCGAATAGTTGGTTACAATTGTCGAATTGATTTAATTAAAGAATATATTCGGGTTAAAGTCCTCGCTCGTGACTTAGCGGCTAAGTGGTCAAGGTTGTAGAACAAACACACACTGCACCACACTTTTATTAAAATAACCCCTTTTATTTATTATAATACTTACAATTTCGAGTGGTTATTACCACGTCGTGGTAGGGACTCTACCTTTTTCTGGGTGTGTTCCAAAACTGACTGCCAGTACTGAAAACCTATAGTGCTCGTGACGTAAACTATAGATTTTCAAACTGGAAGTCAATTTTGGAACACAGCCTTCTATAGGAGTTAATGTTTCAAGTTTATATCCGCGAGAAACGACAACAAATAAAAAAACTTTAAATATGAACGAAGAAAGACCGGTAAGTGGTTTTTTCAAAAATTTATTGTGCTTTTTGCAATGCAATCGTACTGTTTATGTAGTGTACATTAAAGTTTAATTATTATGCTACAATTATCATGCTTCATGAACTTCTAACCTCAATTTGTATATTACTTTTCGGATGCATTCCGTTTCACGCATAATGCGAATGATGCATCATTTGTCGTTGTTGTTCACCGAATATTAAACATTGCAAGGATAAACGATGCATTATGTGCATCATGCGTGAAACGGAATGCACTCTTTGATAATGTGTGGTGTGTATGCGTGCATGTATCGTGCGCGCGTGTACATATACATGCATTGTTTACACGCCCAGCATACAATACCGGATTTTTACAGAGAGCTTTCAGAAAGGTTTCAACCATGTGCAATATACTTTTGAAAGAATTCTGCAAAGTGTTGAAATATTGCTACAGATATATGTTTCTAAAATCTTATGATATGAAATGTTAGAATATCAATGTATCTGAAATCTATCACAAGTAGTAAATTTTCGAATTGGTTTTAAAAAAATTTTTTAATTGGGCAAATTTTAAGTATGTTAAAATACTTAAACCGAAAATTCTGTGTTGTTTTTTTTGCCGATTACCTGTGCGAAAATTTTCTAAGTTCGCTCGTGGTGTGTGTTAAGTAATGGATGAGGTAGTACAAGAATGTTACACAAACAAAATATTTTTTTCTTTGTATATTATACATTGGGCGCGTTCAATGGACTCAACAGTTGAGTGAGCGCTCGCTGTTAATCGCTCTCTGTATTCTTGTAGATCATCCAATCAGAATTTTAGATCTGGAAGAATACACCAATAATAGCGAGCGGTCACTCAATTGTTGAGTCCGCTTAATGCGCTCATCCTTTTTATTAAATATATCAGAAATTATATTTTCATTTATTATATTAATCAGTTTAAAAATAATGAATAAAGACGTAGAATAAAAATGCTAATTGTATTTTATATACATCATTTTTAAAATATATTTTTATATAGTACGTCTGTGTCTCTCGACCGAGGCAGACGTGTTTGTTTCGTACCGTGTCGTAAGTACTTCGGCCGTGTGCGTAAATATTGACAGCGTGCTGTTCAGTAAAAGTGTCGGAAAATAATCAGGATAACATCTATACCAATGCAGAAGCAATTATGACTTCGCATCAGACTAATAAAAACGAAAATAACCAAATATGGACAACCATGAGAAAAAAACGACCAAGAGGCAGTCCTGAAATAAATAAAGCTGACAACAAAAAACGACAAACAAAAATTCAGGATTACTGGCTAAATAAACCGTTAGAGACATATAACTCTTTCGAAAAACTGCAGCCGGATGAGTGCAATATTTCCCAAGAAAATAATAATCAAGATGTAGCCATCGCGAATGTACCAAAACCGCCACCAATTTATGTAAGTGGAGTGGAAGATATATCGCCTCTCAAGACATTACTTGACGAAATAACCGAAAAGGACTACACTCTGAAAGTTCTATTTAATAATGAAGTAAGAATACAACCAAACAATCCAGAAAAAT